ATTTATATGCTATTTACAAATTTGTTTATATATAATAAATATTTTTTGTTAATGCAAAGTTAGATGTAATTAGCGTCTTGTAAAAAAAAAAGTACAACAACTTGCAAACAACTTTTTCTCTTATTTATACAACTTTCAAATGATCTCGGAAGCAAATGAAACATTTGCCACTCTGAGTTAAACAGTGTGTGAATATAATGAATTAAATTTATAGTGGGATATTATTGCATAAACTTACCTCTTCTTTGCACATTCAGATTTTTTATTTTGGGCACTAATTCCAACATTTGAGCAGCGTAACAGTTCTGGACGAGTTTGTCCTTTTTCTTATTAGAAGTTGGCCCATCACCAACCGAAAGAAACACTTTAAAATGCGCAACAATCCAATCTAAATCTGAGAACCTGTCCCATCAATCCCACAGACCATTGCGCGCCGTTTCCGGTAGGCGGCGCTAAACGGTATCCGGGGATTAAGTGCCAGAAAAACACAAAAATATACTTGACGTAGAGATGGCCGTCTGCTTTGCATTGCGTCTTTGTTATATATGATAGATTTTCAGCAGAAAAAGATGAGACACGTAGAACCGTATCTGTAGGTTTGCGAATTAGCGAAACCGAAGGGGAGACAAGCTAGCATGCTAGTTGGTCAGAACAACAGTAGTCACTGTTTGACAGTAGTGTGAGTTTGTTTATGTCTTAATCAACAGAAGGGAAAACAATTTCCATATGTGTCATGTACATATACTGTAAACTGAAAAGAACACCCCRTCTACAGACGTTTTTAGTCCGTCAAGTATGTAAAAACCAAGTATAGTTCACATCTCCCTTCGATAGCTCAGTTGGTAGAGCGGAGGACTGTAGAGGAATCACTGACATCCTTAGGTCGCTGGTTCGAATCCGGCTCGAAGGAGAGTGATGTTTTTTTTCACCTTTTTTGGAGCAATTGTTCCCATGCAAATCGATTTTATTATTTTATTTTTGTTAATTCCTTCAAATTGCGTAGGTAGGTAAGTATGTAGGTAGGTAGGTAGGTAGGTAGGTAGGTAGGTAGGTAGGTAGGTAGGTAGGTAGGTAG